AGGGGATCGCGAATTTGAGGGGATCGCGAATTCTCCCTCATATGAGGGGATCGCGAATTTGAAAGGATCGCGAATTCTCCCTCAAATGAAAGGATCGCGAATGTGAAGGGATCGCGAATTCTTTTTCATAAGAGGGGATCGTGAATTTGAGGGGTTTGCGAATTCTCCCTCATATGAGGGGATCGCGAATTTGAGAAGATCGCGAATTCTCCCTCATATGAGGGGATCGCGAATTTGAGAGGATCGCGAATTCTCCCTCATATGAGGGGATCGCGAATTCTCCCTCATATGAGGGGATCGCGAATTCTCCCTCATATGAGGGGATCGCGAATTTGAGGGGATCGCGAATTCTCCCTTATATGAAAGGATCGCGAATTCTCTCTCATATGAGGGAATCGCGAATTCTCCCTCATATGAGGGGATCGCGAATTTGAGGGTATTGCGAATTCTCCTTCATATGAGGGGATCGCGAATTTGAGGGGATTGCGAATTCTCCCTCATATGAAGGTATCGCAATTTCTCCCTCATATGAGGGAATTGCGAATTTGAGGGGATCGCGAATTCTCCCTCATACGATAGGATCGCGAATTTGAGGGGATCGCGAATTCTTCCTCATATAAGGGGATTGCGAATTTGAGGGGATCGCGAATTTTCTCTCATATGAGGGGTTCGCGAATTTGAGGGTATCGCGAATTCTCCCTCATATGAGGGGATCGCGAATTTGAGAAGATCGCGAATTCTCCCTCATATGAGGCGATCGCGAATTTGAGGGGATCGCGAATTTGAGAGAATCGCGAATTCTCTTTCATATGAGGGGATCGCGAAATTGAGGGGATCGCGAATTCTCCCTCATATGAGGGGATCGCGAATTTGAGGGGATTGCGAATTCTCCTTCATATGAGGGGATCGCGAATTTGAAGGGATCGCGAATTTTTCCTCATATGAGGGGATCGCGAATTCTTTCTCATATGAGGGGATCGCGAATTTGAGGGGATCGCGAATTCTTCTTCATATGAAGGGATTGCGAATTCTCCCTCATATGAGGGGATCGCGAATTTGAGGGGATCGCGAATTCTCCCTCATATGAGGGGTTCGCGAATTTGAGGGGATCGCGAATTCTCCCTCATATGAGGAATTCGCAAATTTGAGGGAATTGCGATTTCTCCCTCATATGAGGATTTCTCATTGCGAAATTGCGAATTCTCCTTCATATGAGGAATTCGCATTGCGAAATTGCGAATTCTTTCTTATATGAGGAATTCGCATTGCAAAATTGCGAATTTTCCCTCATAGGAGGAATTCGCATTGAGAAATTGCGAATTCTTTCTCATATGAAGAATTCGCAGTGCGAAAGTGCGAATTTTTCCTCATATGAGGAATTCGCATTGCGAAATTGCGAATTCTTCCTCATAGGAGGAATTCGCATTGCGAAATTGCGAATTCTCCTTCATAGGAGGAATTCGCAATGCGAAATTGCGTTTTCTCTCTCATATGAGGAATTCGCATTGCGAAATTGCGAATTTTCTTTCATAGGAGGAATTTGCATTGCGAAATTGGAAACTCTCTCTCATATGAGGAATTTGCATCGCGAAATCGCGAATTCTCCGTTATATGAGGATTTCGCATCGCGAAATCGCGAATATTCCCTCATATAAGGATTTTATTTTGCAGAAATGCAATTATTTTCTCATAAGATGATGTTATCTTATAAAAAATAATTTTATTTTAAAGTAAAATGTTTTATCTTAAAGAAAACGATTCTATCGTTACTAAGATGATTTTATTTTTTAAAATATGATTTTAACTTAATAATATGTTTGTATCTTAAACGAGACAATATTATCATAATGTAGATGGTTTTATCTTAAATAAAATGAGTTTATATTAAATAAGATAATTTTATTTTATACAAGATAATTTTGTTGTAAAGTAGATGTTTTTCTTAAATAAGATGAGTTTATCTTAAAAAAATTTTATTTTTTAAGAGATGATTTTATCTTATATATATATATATATATATATATATATATATATAAGATGTGTTTGTCTTTTAAAAGATGAGTTTAATGTAATAAGAGTATAGGAGGAAAAAGCAATTGCTTCTATTTTAGAAGAAAATTGATGAATTAAAATGAAAGATAAGAAAAGAAGAAAGAAGAAATATAGGTATAACATTAAGAATAAACAGTATAAAAATGTTTTTTTTATTTTAAAAAAAACCAAAAAAATGATAAGTGGAATAATAATTGTTTTGAATTGAATCCGAAGAAAATGAAAGCGCGCGCGTAGCGCGCGCTGTCTACTAGTATTCTATATAAAAAAGGTCATTTGGACCGAGAATTGCGCGTTTTGGAGCCGAATGTATCGCATCTATTGTTGCCTCTTTTCCGCGTTGCCGATTGGTTGGTTGGTTGATCGAGTCGAATCGAATCGGTAAGATCGAGAGAGTAAATAATGAAAAGCGATTTTGAGACAGNTCGTCGTATATGTAGAGAAAATTAAAAACGTAACTAAAGTCACGTAACAGGAAAGAGTAGAAAAACAACACGTGAAAATAACGTGACTGTAATTTATATTATATATAACATTAAATAATACATATAATTTATTATATATTTATAATATTATACTTTATATTGTATTATATGTGTATTATATACACACTACAGTAATGTCACTGACCTCCGCCGCGCGACTTTGGCGGGGCACTGACCTCGGCCGTGCAGCCTTGGTGGGGGGGGTCACTGACCTCGGCCGCGCGGCCTTGGCGGGGCACTGACCTCGGCCGCGCGGCCTTGGCGGGTCACTGACCGCGGGCGCGCGGCCTTGGTGGGGGGGGGTCACTGACCTCGGGCGACACAAGATCGCCACAACACAACACAAGTCGACACAAGAGTCATTCTGTCTTTGTTTCTCACTGAATACTTAACGAAGACAGAATGACTTTTGTGTCGACTTTGTCTCTTAAAAGAAAAACAGCCACTGTCGTACGTGTACTAGCTGTCATCGCGGTGACATGTTGTGTCTACTGACGGAATATGTTAAAATAAAAATAATAGCGTGCGCGCGTCTGTGATGTGCTAGTATATGAAATTGCGCGTTACGTGTGAAAAATCACACAAAGTGGAATTCTATAATCAAAAATAATCATCGGAAAAAATAACTTTGCAGCAAAATGAAAGGGACGTTACTCCCCCAAATTTGTTCCGCGCGTACGAAATTTAATTAAAAAATGTTTTTAATAGTGACGCAATGTTATGAAATTTAAATGTTTTGCAGTAATATAAATTGGTGGGCAAAGGTATACGCGCTCGTTTCCACGCGTCACGTGCATAATATGTACGTACGTGGTCGGGACACAGTGAAAAAGGAGCGACCCCACGCGACCACAGCATGCTAACGAGAGAGCAATAAAATTAGTCTCAAGCTAATTAAATCGAACGTGCCTCTAATAGGCTAATGCTCAGTAATTAACAATTTGCGCTGCGCGCGCGTGCGCGCCGAAATATAAACTGTAAACAGTGGAAAGGGAAAGGGAGGAAGAGGGTGTTGGAAAAATACTCACAGAGAGCGGGCGGTGATTCTAAGCAAAACGCTTGCCGTCGTTTGAGCATCACACGGTGCGTACAAAAAGCGCGATTCTAACGCTCCTTCATGCACAGCGCGCAAAACTTGCTTTTGCGATATTCATAGCTAGTTAGATGTGACGTGTGTGTGCGCGCGCGCGCGCGCGTATGTGGTAGTTTCACAAAACGAAACTAATCCCCCTACCGTTTTGCGCGACTTGATTCCAATTTAAAGCCGTTTCTTGCCCCACGAGAGATGTTTATTCTTACCGACAAACTCAAACACGAGAAAATATCGCATTAAAAATGTAATAATTTCATATTGTGCGGTAAGATCTTTACCGTTCTACATTAGATGACTGTTTTTTTTTTTTTTTTTTTTTTTTTTT